AAACTGTGGCCCCAGAAAAAAAATAACCCTGCTAACCAGAAAATGAATGATTTGAATGAGTTCTACCTATCAAATGCTGACTCAGATAAGGTGCTTTTTCACATTATATGAAAATGAATATCTCTGTTTGACATTATGGTCAAATCCAGAAAAGTTTTTTCTTTGTTTTTCTATAATGTTTCACTTTACTCTAATTCTCCAGACTATCTATCTACCTTCAATCTACACTTTGGTTTGTAAATAAAGTCATTATTCTTAAAAATTTAGATCATTTTAAAGTGAATTAAATTGATGAAATTATATATATCGCTTACATAATCTATATGCATATGTATCACATATTTTAGAAATAATAAATTACAACACAACGGAAAAGAAGGGTGGAAACGAAAGTAGCGAAGGCTTTTAATGCAAACTAGGCATCTTCTATTTTGTTGTACAAGCAATAGGGAGTCACTGAAAGTTTTGACAAGAATGGGACATAATATGAAGAAAGTAATGTTCCTGAAGAGTGAATATAATCACAAAAACTAGATTATTCATAATAGCCAAAAATTGGAGAAAATCGAAATGACCATCAACTGAAGAATGAATAAACAAAATGTGGTATCAGCATACAGTGGAATATTATTCAGACCTAAAAGAATGAAGTACTGATACACAGTACAACATAGCAGAACCTTGAACATTATGCTAAGTGAAAAAGGCCAAATATAAAAGGCCATATATCATATGATTCCACTTATATGAAACGTCCAAAATAGGCAAATCCATAGAAATAGGAAATAGATTTGTGGTTGCCAGGGAACTGGGAAGAGGGGCGATGGGAAGGGGCTGTTAATGGGGTTTCTTCCAGAGGTGATGAGAATGATAAAGCACTCAAAAGTAGTGATGGGTGCAAAACTTCATGGATATACTAAACCCCACTAAAATGTATACTCTGAAAGGGTAAATTTTCTGGCATGTGAATTATAACTCAACAACAACACAAAGGGGTGTGTGTGTGTGTAAAATACTACAGGCAAGAAAAATAGAAAGCAACCATATTGGTTTATCAATGAGTACATAAAGGCCATCAGGGCTTCTATTGTTAAGCCCACCTAGGGAGCACCACTCAGATAACCAGACTCCACAGAAGACCACTCACAGGTTCCCCAAGGGGAATACAGCCTGGGACTCTGAATAAGTGTAAGCAAAGGGGCAAAAGGACTGTCAATAACAATAAATATATGAATATGAGAAGAAAAGAAATAAGACAAAAATAAATCTCTTTTTAATTGAAAATGAAACTTTCACAAAGGAAAGTCAACAGAATTCAATACTTACCATCTTTGGATTGAGAAATAAAGGCAATCTGTAGTCTCTTACCCAGACTTTTTCAAATTTTCAACAATAAGATTACCTGTGTAAGGAGGAAAATGTATAAAAATGTATTTGCCTTTATTAACAAAATATTTTATATCTCAACCATAGAAACCATTCTGAAATATGCAAGCCATAACCTATTAGAGAGTCAAGCATTGTTAAAGCCAATTTCTTGTGGAATCCATACACTATTGTCTTAATGGGAAAAATAAAGTTCATAATCTACATCGTCACTGTCCAATATGCCAGCCAAAAGCTAGTCAGCACTTGACGTGTGGCTAAGTCTACAGAGACATTGTGTAAGTATAAAATATACTCCAGATCTCAGAGTTAGTACTAGAAAAAGAATCTAAAATATCTCATTCATAAGTTTTCATAGTTACATATTGATTACATGTTGAAATAATAATATTGTGATATATTAAATAAAATGTATTAAAATTAATGTCACCTGTTTTTCTAGGTTATTTCATATGGCTACTAGATATCTGGCTTGCATTATACATCTATTGGACAATGTTGTGTTAAGTGGCAGCTAAAAAGCTTTCTGAGAGCTTCATGAGTCCTCCCTTTGTTCCCTTTTTCTTGTGCTCCAGGAAGTAAAGCTTTTCCCAGAATGTTTCCTGCACTGGAAACCGCTGCACACAGCAAGCAACATGAAACAAGCAATAACCCTAAGATG